CAGCCCCTGCTCAAAGTGTCAACAGTGCCGACATGAAGAAACCCTGCGTTAGATGAAGCCTGAGAAAGAAGGCTTTGTGTAAGTGGGAGCTAGGCAGAATGTTCTCCCTCCTGACAAGGGGATGATCTGCCCTAAAGGCTCCACCGCCAGGCTCCCTCCCTGGCTCATTGCTCCTGCTCCTCTGAACACCTAGCCCAGAGCCCAGTTCCTCAACAGACCCAGCCACACTGCCAACAACGCTTTAGTTTAATTGGGTTAAGTGGCCATTAGCGGCAAAAACAGGACGGCTATGTGCAGAAGGGTTTTTAATTTATTCTTTAAATGATGCTTGCTCCCCAGAGAGGCCACTGATGGGGGGAACGCTGCCCACTGGAGACTCCAGAACCAGGGCCGCAGCTGCACCTCCCCCTGTTCCATCCATCTGGGACTCACGGAGGAGGGGTTGGAGGGGGGTTCAGCGTCTTGTCTCCACTGCCCAAGGAAGCAACTGAGGGGGCACGGACTTGTCCAAAGTTGCTAGGTCATCCCAGAGCAAGCCCCTGTCAGAGAAGACCAGAGTCCTGTCTCCTCTTCCCTCAGCACTGTCCACCTGTGGACAGCAAATGCCATGTGGCAACTAGTGGTAGCACAGAGGGCAATGTCGGGGGGCAGTCTGTGGGGTCTGGAGACCAACTACCTGGATCTAAAGCCTCGTTTTGCTGTGAGACCTGGGGCCAGTGGTTTAACCTCTCTAGGGCTTAGTTTTCTCAAATGTAAAATGGGGATACAAGGAGTAACCCTTGGCTTGTAGTGAGGATTTGGAGAGATCTGGAGTGTCCGGCTCATCTTAGGCCAGGCACTTGGCAGGCACTCAGAAAAGGCCAGGAATCGTGGGAAGGAATTATTTCTGCCATTTTAGGGGAAATGTCCTGAGTGCTGAATCTTCACAGAATCATCTGTGGAGCATTGAAAAATACTTAATTAAGAATATTTAAATTCTCCACCCCTGGAGAATCTGATGTACTTGGTCTGGGGGAGGGCCTGGGCATCAGGACTTAAAAGCTCCTCAGGTGACACCAATGTGAAAACAGGGTTAAAAAACACTGCATGAAGGCAAAAGTATGAAGGCACAGCATCTGGAAAGGTCTTGGCCGTGGGACAAGGGGAAGTACCTGAGGTGCAGCATGAGGAACATGGGCCTAGTAGGAAGGGCAGAGCTTGAGGGCCGAGCTCTCTAGGACCTGGATCCCAAGCCAGGCCTCTCCACTGCCTCCAGCTTGTTTGGGGTTGGAGATGAGAGGGCCTCCCCGAGAGCAGGCTTCTAGCCACCACACTGATGTCCCTCAAGAACCCACTTTGGCCTGGCTGCCCTGGCCCTGGGCTTCCCATTCTCTGGGAACCAAGCCCACTGACAATGCCCTTGGCCTTGTCCCTGAGAGGAAGCTGGAATCCCCCACACTGGGGTCACTCCTCACCTTATCCAGGCAGTGCCTCCAGCCACGGCCTCTCCTCTGAGTCACACAGCAGAGGTGCCAAGGACGGTGCTGAAGGTGGCACTGTTTTCACTGTGGCCTTTATAAATGATGGCTCCTGGAGCTGTGAGAGCAGAAGTACTGGGCAGGGATGGTCTCATGTCCCTATTTTATGGAGAGGGAAACCAAGGCCTGGGACGGGACTAGACAGAGGGCTCCTGAGGGCAGGAACAGGGCCTGTCCTTTCCCGCTGCACCCCCAGCACCGCTCTGACACACAGTAGGCCCTTATTGAACGTTGATGAATAGATGAAGGAAGGAGTACAACCAAGAAGAGATGACCTTTCTGAGAGAGAGGCTGTATGCCAAGGCCCCAGCTGGAAGGACAGGAGAGCTCCGATTTGGGTCCAACTCTGCCTCCAATGTGCTCTAAGAACTTAGGCACCTCCCTACCCCTCCTGAGACTCAAGACCTAAGAGAGCGGGCCTTGGCTCAGAGGACCCACCTCTGTGGGTAGCAGGATTTCCAAGCCGGGTCCCCTCCACGTCTCCGAAGCTGAGGCCCCAGGAGGTTTCCCAGACATGGGGATGCTGGTTGCTTGTGTTGCAAGGCCCCTGACCTGGACTGCTCCTGCTAGACTCCTGGCCCCATAAATCACCCTGTACAGCTTGGAGAAATTTGTTACAAACATCTGATTATCCCTAATTAGATGAGACAATGAACTTCTGTCCTGCATTGCTCAGATCTCACTTTGCAAGCTCCAAATTAAAATTCCAAACCAGAGCAAGGAATTTAAATTGGATTACCGGATGGGGTCCAGGGAGAGAGGCACAATGGAGTAGGGGGAGGAAGGGGGTGTCCAGCCCCCAACATCCCATATGCACTCAGGCTGCAAACAAATGTGGGAGAGGAGAGAAGGGCCAGAACTTGATTAAATGCAAACTTAAAACATAATTAAGACCAAAGCTCATCTTGAAAAATCAGGACCAAAGCGGGGGAAGGATGGTCTTCCCTTTCCTCTGGGGATACAGACAGGAGCATCTTGTGGGCCTTGAGCCAGGGGGCGCTGCAGCAGGGGGAGTTCACTGGTGAGGACAGTGCTGGACTTGCAAACCTCAGGAATAATGTGGGGAGTCAAGAGCCTGGCTTAGAGTCAGAGTGACCTGGGTTCAAATCCCGGCTCCGCCACATTCTGGCCTGATGCATGGCACGTCTGAGTCTCAGTGTCCCCCTCTGTGAAGTGGGCCTCTGTCACGGGGTTGCTGAGAGAACAACGTGTGACAGACTCAGCACATGGGGAGTGCCCAATGAGGGCCATTTCCCACCATTTTTCAATTGAAAATAATTTGTATTTAGCACCAACTGTATACCAGGCCATGGGCTGGGCTGCAGATGCAGCGGGAAGGAAACCCGCTGTCCCACCTCATGGGGCAGGGTCTTGTATGTAGGGTGCAGGGAGAGGCTTGGGATCAGGCCTTGGGCTCTCTCCTCCCTCAAACTGCCAGGGTTGGTGGTTCCTCTAGGAGTGGGGAAAGGAGCCTGGGGAGGGACCCCAGCTCTATGCTGCCCAGAGAGGATGGGTAGGGGGCTGGGCCCTGGGTTCCATGTGTGGAGGGCAGGTCGGACATCTGTCACTGCCACCACCCAGCACCCCCTGCTGAGGCAACTGGTTCTAAAGCCTGGGTCGGTAGCAGGCCTAAAGGCCTGAAGGGTGCCCCTTCCTAGATTTATCAGATGGTTGACACAAGTTCAGGGCTCATGGCCTGCACTTTGTAAATGGGGTGGGAGGGAGGGGCAATACAGCAAGGAAGTAGTGGGCAAACGAGGGGTCTGCAATGAAGCGGAGAGAAAGACAGAGAATGAAAGAAAGGAGGGAGAGTGTCCAGGACAGACCCAGTTCTAGGAAAGGCAAGGGGGTGGACGTGATTTGTTGGCTGGGGGAGGCAAGTGGATGTTTCCCACAATGAGGGGAGACACTGCTGGGTGGACTGCTGGGGACTGCTGTCCCAGCTGAAGGCTTAGCTTTGCCTCCTCCCCATGACAGTTCATTTCCCCAATTGTCTCCCTACCTGTGATTAGGAGATCCCGAAGGTCAGGCTGGGCGGGGCCCAGCTCTGGGTCCTCTGGGTCCTCTGGGTCCACACAGGCTGGGAGGCCCTCAGGCTCTGCCTCCTCTGGACCTCTGGTCCCAGGATGCCAGCCTCGCCCTATTCCATGACCCCAGGTCACACAGGGGCAGGCAGGGGACCCAGCTCCTGGGAAGGGGATCCTGGTTCTCTCCTGGGGCCTGGATGTGGTGGGGTTTGAACTGGGTGGCCATCCTGATTTGACCCTGCCAGGCCCCTGGCCTGAGCCAGGGCATGGCTTGTATGGACTTGCTCATCTTTTTTTTTTTTTTAAAATAGTTTTATTGAGATATAATTCACATATCATGAAATTTACCCACATAAAGTATACAATTCAGTGGTTTTTTAGCATAGTCAGAGTTGTGCAACCATCACCATCACCACCATCTAATTTTAGAATATTTTCATTCCCCAAAAGAAACCAAAACCCTGTACCCATTAGCAGACGCTCCCGATCCCCACCCTTCCAGCCCTAGGCAACTACTAAGGTACTTTCTGTTTCTATGGATTTGCCTATTCTGAACATTTCACAGAAATCGGATCACACAATAGGTGGTCTTTTGTGACTGGCTTCTTTCACTTCGTATAATGTTTTCAAGTTCATCCATGTTGTCACGTGAATCACTATTTCATGCCTTTTTACTGGACCCGTCTTTCTGACACATGTTGGGGCAGCTGCAGTTGGGCCTCTGATCTGGGGGCAGTGTGGAACCCCTCCTCATTTACTGCACAACCCGCCCAGGGCACTCTGCAGCTCCAGAAGCCCCTCCTCACTGCTCTCTCTGAGGTGGGTAGAGTAGCAGGGGTCTGCCGGCTTTGTAGACACAGTCAGGGCAGCCTAGCAGTTTCTGTCACCTCACAGAACCGCAATGCCTTGCAGTTGATAGGTACAACCTCTTTGAGTATAGATGGAAAGACTGAGGCCCAGAGGAAGGCAAGGAAATGTTCAAAGTCATGGGTAGAGCAGGGGCTCCAACTCCTAGCATCACATGGCCACGGCCTTCTCTGTGGGGCATTCAGGGCCCTTGCACACTCCCTCCCGATCAGAGCCTGCAGCCCACTCTCCCAGCCATCAACAGGTCACTATCCTGGCCAAGTGCTTACCCAGGGCACGCTCAGAGCAGAGGACTGGGAGGACTCCAGGCCCCACAGGAGCAAGGGAAGGGACCTATCTGGGCCCCACCTTCATGCCCACACAGGGCCCCCAAGACCCCAGGTCACCCCTCATGCTGCCTACTCCAGATACAACCATCTTGTTCCTGCCACAGCTGCCCACAGTCCACGGGGGCACAGCCCTGCCAATGATGGTCCCCTCTGAATTTAGAGGGCCAGCAGGGCCGTGTGCTCCTGGCAGGTTGGGACATCGCACTCACAGTGCAGGCCACTCTGCCTAGCTCTCTCTCAACCCATACAATTGCACCTACCTTCAGGGCCTGCACCTTCCTGTCCAGCAGGCTCTCAATATCCCCTGCCACCTTCTCCACCAACTTCTGAGGCTCGTTCTCCTGAACCTCAAACAGATTGCGGTTGTCCTTGTAGATCTGGAAAGAAGCAGAAGCCTGGGGTGAGGCCAGGGTGGTCCCACATTCCCATGCCGTGGTGCCTTTTTGCACAGCTCACCACAGTACAGTCCTCACCTGCACCCCAACCCTGGCTCTGGCCATTGAGAAAGACCATGGCTGTCTGGAGGTCGGCCCCAGTGCTCTCATAGACTTGGAAGAAGAGCAAGGCCATTGGCTCTCCAGCTTGCATTGGTTGTGTGTGGTTGGTGAGATGGAGTTGCCACTGTCTTCTCAGGGTTCCTCCCAGGGACCATAAGCAGCACCCCGTTGACTAGCTCAGAGTGGCTGAGAGCAGCAGAGGGGGAAGGATGGGCTGGATAGGAGGCAGGGTGTCGGGGAGAGATGGAGCCAATAAGTAACATTGCGCACCATGAACCAACATGAAGATGCTCTCACACCCACGCGTGTACATATACCTACACACCCACACATGCATCACATACACACAGCCGCCCCTCCACTTGGGCTCAGGCATCCATATCCTTTTTTGCTGGCACTGCCCCAGGGCAGAAACTATAGTGGGAGCTCTGGGTGCCCCTAGGGGTTCCTCTGTCATTCGGGGCACAGAATAGGGGGGCAGGGACCAGGGAAGAAGAGGCATGTGGGGGGAATGAATCTGCCTCTCCTGCCTCTCCTGTGGGCCTGTGCACACGTGTATGGGGGGTGTAAACCTGACAGTCTGCACCTGCGTGTGTGAGTGTGTGTTACGGCTCAACACACATCCATCTGTGTGTACGTGCCTGCGTGTTGGGGGTGGGGTCGGGTTAGGGCCTCTAGACGAAGCCTGGGGGCTTGTATGTGAGTCGTAGAAGCAGGGTTTTGCGGGCATCTTTGCTCATGGCTGGAGTCTTGGGTGTGTGCAGGTGCATGTGTGTGCGCGCGCGTGTGTGTGTGCATCATACACCCAGGCATGTGTCTCTGAGCCTGAATGGGTTCATGTGTCCATCCAGGTGACCCCAGGAGGTCCGTGCCCTAAGCTGGCTCCTTTACCAGAGGTCACAGGCCAGGCTGCCATGACTGAGCTGCTGCCACCAGGCTGTGCCATCAGGCTGTGCAGAAGCAGAAGGATGTGGAGAGACAGAGAGAGGAGGTGATGAGGAGGAGATAAGGAGGTGGGAGAGGCAGTTGATGCAAGACAGACAGGCAGGAGAGATAAGGTCGGCAGAGTGGGGATGAGACATGGTGAGATAAGGCCTCCGGCATCTGACGAGGGGAGGAGGTGGGGGACCAGGCCTCCGGAGGCCCTGCCCTGCCACTCACCCAGTGCCTGGCAGTCCAAGGGTTAAAGCACAAGCACGGCACAAAGCTGGCTCAGGCAATCTCCTCCTCCCACCGCCCCCATCCCTCCCGGCTTCTCGGCCTCTTTTCTTTTTGTCCTTCTCTTAGAACAAAATAATTTGTGGTGAAGTCGCTCCTTCCCACAGAGCAGTGGCGATTAGAGGGCAATCTGCGAGGCCTGGATGCACAGCCAGGGAAGATAGAGGCCCCAAGTGGGCACCAGGCCAGGCTGTTTCCTGGGTCCCCTGGACCCTGCCTCAGGACAGAGGCCCCCAGATAAAAGACAGTGATGGAGACAGAGGTCAAGGAGGGGTCAGAGCCTGGGGGTCACTGGGAAAAGCAGGGAGCGTGGGGCGCAGTGCCCACTGTTGGGGAAACTGAGGCTCAGGAACAAGAAAGGACAGGTCAAGGCCACACGACTGTGAATGGCAAAGCCAGGTTCCCCATCTCCCTGATCCCTCCTTCCCACGTTTCAGGACATTAAAAATACACCCTTTCCTGACCTTGGACTGCGGCCCCTGGGTGTGTTGAGGCCGCATCTCAGTTACACTGGCTGAAGCCTCAGCTAAGCGCACCGCACCTCCAGCCCACTTGTGCCAGCAGGGGGCACAGCTGCCTGGCTTCTCAGGGCAGAGAATGAAGTCCCCATACCTGACTCTCAGGTCAAGGTCATTCCTGGGTGCCCCAATCAGGGCTGTCCATGGCAGTGGCAGCCCTGGGATTGGAGGCTGGACCATGAGGCTTCTTGACAACTCTCTTCAGGGAACCAGGGAGTCCTTCCCTGCCGGGTCCAGGGTACCCCCTGCGGCCTGGCATGGTGACTGGGCCAGGGCTTGGGGGCCTCAGAGGGAGTGGATCTCCAGGTGGCAGGGTCACACCCCAGTGCCCTGACAGGTAACACAAGGGCTTAGAAGCAAACATCCTGCCAAGAGTTACCCCATCTCTGAACCTCAGTGTCTGATCTATTAAATGAGAGAACGGCAGTCTCCACCTCACAGGCCGACCAAGGACCAAAAGGTTCGTTCAAGAGCAACCTATACTATTGTCACTACGCTATTGTTTAGGATCACCAGAATTCTGCAGAAGGAATCACAGTCCCCTCCCTGCCTCCACTCCCTCCCTGCTAGGTCTGCACATTTAGGATTCAAAGCCATCGGCTCCCATTCCTGAGCAGGTAGCCTTGGTCTCCGTGGGGTCTGCCCACCTCCAGCCCCATCCCTCCTCCCAGCCCTTCTTGGGCAGCCCCTCCCCAGCCATCCTGTCCTTGACACCTCAGCCTCAGCCCTGGAGATGATAAGAGGAGAGCCTAGACACAGGGACACCACTGATAGGGCACAACCACGGCCAGCTCTCTTCCATCTCTCCCCAAGCACCGGGCCTGTGTGCAATGGACCCTCAGCAAAGGCACATGACCAGTTCCATGTTCAAGAGGAGCTCTGGGCCAGCTGGACCTGGTCTGGCTCCTCCACTTCTTCCTGCAGCTGTGCTACCTCGTGGAGCCTGCATCTGCCATGCTTCTTTCCTGCCCCACTTCTACCCCAAGACCCACCATGACATCCTTCTGCTGGTCCCTCCAACCCACTGACCTGACATGTGCCTGCAGGCCTCTGGGTCCCCAGCCCATGCTGAGGCCCTCTGCCACACCTTTGCCCTGCTGTGCCTGCTTCGCCTCCACCTTTTCCTGCCTAGCTAACTCCTCCCTAGTGAGGATGGGGAAATAGGCTAGAAGGAGTTCCTGGGGAGGTGAGGACAGAATTCCAGAATTACAGGGGCTGGTTGAGCTTCCAGCCAAGCCTGTCGCCCAATCCCAAATGTGCCCTTGAGATGCAAAGCCCTTGTTCCTTCTATCCCAAATGCCTCACCCTTCGTGACATTCCCCTGTACCTACTCCAGTTGCCCTGTCCCCTGGGGTGGGCCCTAAGCTGAGCTCTGTGCCCCAGGGAGATCCAAGTGACACAGTCCAGCAGATGGTCCCACCCTGGGGGATAGGTCATCTCTCCACTGATGTGGTCCAGGAGGTGCTTTCCACCTGCAGGCCCAGCAGGAAGCCTGGGAGGGCCCGGAGCAGCTCTGGAACATGCCCAGGGCTGGTTCTCCTTGAGCCCTAGCCTCTAGCCTTGGTCCCTGGGGCCAGCTCAGAAGCAACAGAAAGGCTAGGGCACAGTGGGTGCAGGGCCTCAACAACCACAGCATGACAGCACGCCCACTGATGTCCTTGGCCCAGCAAGCTAATTGGAAAAACCCAACAGCTCCCACAGCAGTGCAGCCTGCATGGCCCCTACCTCTGCACAGGCAGCTGGACAGAGGAGAGAGATGGGGGCCGGCTGTTGCAGCTCCATGCCAGCAGCGATGGGGGAGGAAGACACAGGGGCTTCATACCACAGATGAGATGGTAAATGGTAGTGGGACAGGGCAGCAGACTAGGGGATAGGCTAGCTGCAGCCAGAAGGGCATGTGGGGGAGGGCAGGAGAAACGGTGACACAGGAAGAGCAGGGGTGGGTGAGGCCCCCAGGGACAATTCAGGAGGCAGTTTGCAGCCCCTCATTCCCAGGAGTCCCTGGCTCCCCTCATCCCCTACCATATATCTGTGGCCACTGCTCACCGGGTGCCCTCCTCCCCTTAAGGGCACCCCCCCATCGGTTATCAGACCTGTCCCTCCATCTCTCCCCTCATCTCCTTACCTCCCTCCCCCCCACCACCCGCAACCCCAGGGCTGGCCCCATCCCCAACCCTCTCTCAGCTCTAGTAATTCTTTTGTTAAGCAGCATGTCTGGCCAGCCTTCTAGCCTGGGGATTTCCAGGGCCTATGGAGGCTAAGGCCTTCTTAGGGGCCCCAGACCCTCTGCACAGCTTCCTGCTTCCATAAGTGGCTCCACATAAAGGGGAGGTGACGTGAAGGACACTTGGAGGAGTGGCGACCTTGGAAAGGAAGCCTGGATGCTCATAGGGGCAGACAAAGCCAGCCTCGTGCCCAGAGCTCCCAATAGTCCTGACTGGGAGGGGGGTCGAGCTGAAGTATCTGGATCACAGAGACAGCCACCACAGGAGACAAAAGGCCCCAGGACCAGTGACCTGGACAGGCCCCAATCAGACTGGAGAGGCATGTGCAAAATCCCAGAAAACCAGCAGCAGTGGGGCCTGGACCTGACACAGTACCCAGCCTGCCCAGGGAGAGGAATAAGGTGGGCGGGTAGGGGGAAAAGGGAAAGAGGCACCACAGGGGCCGCAGGAACAGCCCCATTCACAGAGTGTTGGCTCTGGCTACCCGGGGGCAGGCGCTTTACACACTTGACCTCACTGATCTCCAACAACCCCTGAGGAGGGACCATTCTGATCGTGTCCATATAGCAGATGGAACACTGAGGACCAGGGAGGTTAAGTTACACAGCAGAGTTCGGATTTGAACCAGGTCTGTCTGATCCAAAGCCCTCGCTTTAGGTCACACTCTGTGCAGTTCTATTCCCTGCATTTATCCTCAAGCTTGAAGGGGAGGCACATGGCAAAGGGGCACAAAGGACAAGCTGGGGGCTTGGTGGGCCTGAAAGGGGCCTGGGGCAGACCAAGGGGGATGCTGAAGGCAGAAGCGCTGTTCTGGAGAGGAGTAGGGGAGGAATGGCAGAACGGCTAGATCGACTAATCCACCACCCAACCCTGGGAGTAAAAACAGGCGCACGTGCAGGCTCCTCTCCGCAGCAAAGGT